TCAATGAAGAAGTGGCCGAAGAAGATGAATAGTTACCAAACACTGTAGGCGACGATGAACAGTCAGATGAACAGTTACTGGTCCATAGGAGGAGATAAATAGTAGTATCGTATTCCTCTTTTTTTTGGACGATAAACAGTCACAGTTATGACATTCTCATGACCATAGAATTCCTTTTGCCGAAGAAGAAGGAATTAGATAATTAAAGCTCTTTTTTTTTTTAACTCCTATTACTTGATTGTAGCCAAAATTTTCAGTAGGAATTCAAGTAGTTTCTACCCATTTGCACTTTACCGAATGACAATAGTGTCATTTTTTAAAAATATACACTTTACCCCAAATAAATTTTTGTGTTATACTTTTGTTTAAATAAGTCTAAAAAATTGTATCGACTTCAAATCACCCAAAAAATTATTGTTCAAAAGAGTTTTTCATCTACATATAATTTAAATTTTGTAATTAGGTTACTCGATCGTTAATTACAAACCTATAATTTTTTACTATCATTTCACGAAAAATTGGATTTTATGATTTTTTTTTTCAAAATCAAATTACACAGTTTTGTGAAAAAAAATAATAATTAATTAATGAATGACAAAAAACAAGACATGAATGTCCCCTGTAATTTCCGGTGAAAAAGTGGTCGGAGACGATAAACAGTTACTGAACACTGTAGGTGACGATGAACAGTTGAACCGTAGGAGACGATGAACAATACTATTGTATTCCTCTTTTTTTTGGACGATGAACAGTCATAATTATGACATTCCCATGGCTATAGGATCCCTTTTGTCGAAGAAGAAGTGATTAGATAATTAAAGCTCCTATTTTTTAACTCCCATTAGTTGATTGTTGCCACAATTTTCGGTAGGAAATCAAATGATTTCTACCCATCTGCACTTTACCGAATGACAATAGTGTCATTTTTAAAAAATATGCATTTTTTTTTAAATAAGTTTTTGTGTTATACTTTTACCTAAATAAATCTACAAAATTATACCAACTTCTAAATCACCCAAAAATAAAAGCTACAGAAAGCCCGATCCAGAATACTTAATCCAGACTTCAAGGCCCAGCCGAATTCAGAATTTTCTTGCATTGTATAGGACCTACCTAAATCCTGTCCCAACATAAAAAAGCTCGTCAAATCAACTGAAGTATGGGCACTATTATGGATATTAGTGGAAACAGAAATAATAAATTGTAAAAGATTTATTATTATGAATATTTTAGATCCGACGTGAATAGTCTTTTTTTGATCAAACTGAGAAAAATAATTAATTGAAATGTACATAAAATAATATGGATACTTTTGACTGTTGAACTAAAACAAAAAATACTTTGCAAAGCAATGTTGAAGAGGTCAATAGGTTTGTCATAATTTTACACACAATTTGCCAATTTTACATAAATTAGCACTGTTAAATTTAACTTTAATGAGATTGAATGGTAAATAGATAGACATGTTAAGTAAATAAATAGATACAAATCAGATTTAACATACTTTATGTACGACACAAATTTATAACATGAATCTGTTCAATAAATAGGTAGGAATGTAAAATGAGTAAATTTTGAAGAGCACATAACTGTCTAAGGGTAGGAATCCATCAATTTTTCTCCTTGACATTATCTAATAAAGGGATTTTGAAATGTGGTTCTTAGTTTTGAATGTTGTAATTAACCACCTCTTCTTCGTCTTTCTATATATATTTTGACCCTGTAACCACCACCTATGAAAGGCTAGTTTGATTCTCTTCGCATTAAAAAAATAAAAAAAGGGGGGGGGGGGTCAAATTTATATTTTATTAAAATTATTTTAAATTTATTTTATTTACCAAGCGGGTTCGACGAGTTACTCATTTATGACTCGAATTATTACATTGGTCTTGAGTAATAATTTCATATTTAATGGACTTGTGTGTGTTGAAGTATCTGTAGTTTTCTTACCTTGGAAAAAAAGCGATGTCCTTCCTTCCTTCCTTCCTACCCACCCATCAATCGGACGGGACGGGACTGCACAGGAAGGTTTCGTAGTCTTTACTTCCATGAAACATAAAGCTTCCCATAACCTTGATTTTTTTGGTCCCAAGTCCCAACTAATCATTCCTAAGAGGCTTAATGGGGTGGGGCCTCAACTACTGCTTTTTGGTTGGTTAGTTGTTGAGGAAATATTAAGAAATATCAAGTGTTTAACATCTAGATGTAAAAGTAATTTAGACAATTTTATTTTGAATCTGTTGTGATTAAGTTATATATTTGGCATGAAGAGAGTGTTTGGGAGAGATGACCAAGTTTGAATTCACAACTTTAATGTTCAACGGCAGGACGGTGGCTAGCTAGTGATAAGGTTCGAACTCATGATCTAGAGTTATTAAGAAAATTGAATTAGTTCGATTCATACCCTAGTTTATATGTGAATATTCTTTGTTAACATTGGGGTGGTTGGGTATATCCCGGAATATGATAATTATACTTTAATTTCCTATGAGATTTTCTTTTTCTTCTTTAGTACTTTTTTAATCAATATTAATAGTTTAATTTTAAATAAATTATGCTACGTTTTGTAAAAACACACCGCAACAACAGTCTGAGAATTTTTTTTATGTCAAAATTGATAATTTTCTTTGTCAATAGCAACTGTGTGTGTGTGTGAGAGAGAGAGAGAGAGAGAGAGAGAGAGAGAGAAGCAGTGTCACCTCCTCCGGCAGCCCCTCCCCTCGAGGCATTACATTGTCGGATGCTTACTCTATTCTTACCAAAAAAATTATCAGCAAATTCAATTATTTGGATATGAGAAGGAGTTTCGAGTTTTTTCACTCACAAAGTTATAAATATTGATGGGTTCGGTTTCCCTCTAATTTCATAAGAAGTAAATTCTATTAAAAAAATGGTCAAGTTCATAAACATTAATAGATTCAAAAAATATATTAAATTTTTGAAATTCAAAATCAAACGAATTTGTTCATGTGTATAAATCATGAACTATTCAAAAACAGAATTACAAGATCTTCTAATTCTTAACGAATTTGAGTGGAGTGTAACATCGTATGGATTGACATAAGACATGATTAGTAAACATGTTAGTTCAACCTGACAAAACATGCCCCATATTGGGACATCACCAAGCTGGCTCCTCCAAATAATTCCTACCTAGCTTAATTATATGAATAAAACTGTAATTCGAGACGAATTGTAAATTCAGACAATATAAATTCGAATATTAACAACCAGTTGTAATAAGAACATGAAATTTATCTTTTATGAATACCTTAATCTTAACTTGGATGATCTTGTCTTTGACAAGACCGATGAGAGAATTAAGTGAGATATATATAAACTGATCCAAATACTCTTGACTATTTAAGTCATTGAAAACGAAAACCATTTTTATTCATTCAGTGACAAAAATCATAAAATAATACACAAATTAAACTAAAGTAATATGGGCAGACTTAGGAAAAGGTAATAGAAAAATAGTTCAACGATCGTGTCCCTTCACATCAAACAACCAATTTTCTCTCCAAGTTGATGCAATTAGTACGACTTTCAAAAAGTATTCAAGTGTCATTTGAGTTTGAGTTTAGCTTGCAAGCTGGAATGGATTACGATTCGCCGAATTTGAGCTTGAGTTGAGTTTAAATTCTTAGTCAAACTCGATTCAACAAAAATTTACTTGCGTGTTAAACCCGAGCTGAAAATTGATCTCAATTTTTTGTAAATATTTTTAAATATAAAATTTGCAAGTATCTATTAGAGAAGAAAATGTGAGATAAGTATATATTGTCTAGAAGATTCAAACTAGTTGAAGAGAAGTTTGGGGTGGTTCTTTTTTGATTAGCAAGTTGTTCTCTAATAGAATGAGAAACATAGTCTAGTGGAGTCTATGTGTTGTTCAAGTTTGACTTTTTTACAAAACACTCTGAATAACCTAATTAGGTATGGTGCAGTTTACAATTTGAGCGAATTTAAACGAGTCAAATTAGAGTTGAATTTCAGCAAAGTTCAAGCTGCATATATCGCTTGACAGTCTCATGCATGTACACAACACCCTGATGCAAATTGTGAATGACGGATTTGAATATATATATATATATATTTTTATTTCTGGAAAAATTAATCATATGTAAAGCTACTACTAATTATTAATTGAACAATAACATTGTATTAATTTTTCCTATTATTGCTCATAAAAATAATAGGACGAACTATAGACCTGAACATCAAGGGTTTGATTTTTATTAGTGTCTCTTGAATTTAACTGATACACGTGATTTGTGGGTGATTGTAGGTATCCAAGATTTATTCTCGCAAGGAGAGCTTTGAAGTAACCTTACATTGAAGAAATTTCTCGTTAATAAAAAAGAAAAAAAAAAAGTAGCATCATTTTTAATTAAGTGTCCAAATCAGATCTAAATCTTTTCAATTATATTTTCATTCAATTTTGGTCAATAGTAAAAATAGTGGGTCTTACTAGAATTTGTAGTAAATGATTTATCATTGAGCGAAGCTATAATAGAAAAAATCTCAATTCAACCCAATTGAATTTGGTTTCATGAGTTTTTTTTTTCATTTATTTTTGTCTAACTTCGTGAGTTTATTGGCCTGAACAGTAATGCACACATGCCTCGACCACTTATAGGTATTTTATGGTTGGATAGGCTTGGGATGCCGAATATGCAACTTTAATTTGTTACGTTATGTACTAGTTTGGTGGTATGTATTATGATATTTTGTGTTTTTGGTATTATCCTTCATTTTTTTTTGTTGAATTGTAATCATAATATTCCTCCGCTACAAATAAATGTAATTTAATAAATTTCAGAGGTACTGTCATTCTCGATAATACAATTATGATTTAATTTATTGATATAATTTATTTATTTAATTCGTCACAATTGTTAGATAAGTTGTGGACCTCGTTAAATTGTTAATCTAACAATTATAAATAATTAGATTAAAAAATTGGGTGAGTACTATTACGTACTCAAGGGCTGAAAATGCTGGTGCAACGGTGGAAGCCCTTCCTTTATTCACGGATCTACCATACTTCACAACAACAGGTCCCTTCATACTGGAATTGAAAACGACTCAGAGACCAACATGGGAAAGCTTTGAAATCACTTCTCTCTCTCTCTCTCTCTCTCTCTCTCTCTCTCTCTCTCTCTCATGGCTTTCGAGAGGTGAAGTTGTTAGAGATTGATTAGAAGAAAAAACTGAGAAAGACAACCCTCCAGCCACCAATTACCAAACCAAAGCAGTTCCAAGAAGACAACTCAATTTCACCAAATCTCAATAAACAAAGACTAATACATGTTATTCACTCTCTCATCCATGTTCTTTTCTTTCTCTATATTTCAAACTCGTTCGTCTCTCTCCCTTCCCATCAATCCTCTCAGATGCAGCCACCACGCCGGAAAACGTCACTGTTCTTTACAGGAAAATTCACAATGAAGCACGCCGGCGGTGGCCGCAAAAACAATAACCTCTCGGTCTTCGTTGTGGTCTTCTCTATCTTCCTCTTTGGATGCTTCATGTACAATGAAGACGTGAAGTCCATCGCGGAGTTTCCATTTTCGAGTCCCAACATTCAAGAAACCCAAAAAGAATCATCCAAAATACACAACCTAGTTCAAGAAACTAACAAGAAAGCCGAGAAAGACACAGTTCCAGTGTTGATGCGTTCAAGAACTATAGTGGAGACAGAAGTAGAGAATTCTCATAATAAACAAGAAGCAGTGGGTTTGAAAACAGAAGTAGAGGATTCTGAAGAACAACAAGAAGTTGTTAGATTGAAGATAGATGTAGAGGATTCTGAACAAAAACAAGAAGGTGTGAATTTGAAATCCACGGAAACGAAAGAAGAAGAAGAGGAAGAATTAGATGATAGGAAAATTAAATTACCAGGTGAAGAAGAAGAAGATGATGAAGAGATTGAATTTCCTCCTGAAGATTGTGATCTCTATACAGGACAATGGGTTTTTGATAATATCACTCATCCATTGTACAAGGAAGAAGAATGTGAGTTTCTCACAGAACAAGTGACTTGCATGAGGAATGGAAGAAAGGATTCACTTTACCAGAACTGGAGGTGGCAACCCAGAGATTGTTCAATGCCCAAGTAAGAATTTCAATAGAATTTGTCCACTACGATTGTTTCTTGATTTTTTTTTCTCTGTGTTTTTGTTAATGTTGATGATTTGATTTGGTTAAGGTTCAAACCAAAATTGTTGTTTGAGAAGCTGAGGAACAAGAGGCTTATGTTTGTTGGGGACTCGTTGAATCGGAACCAGTGGGAGTCTATGGTTTGTTTTGTTCAATCCGTCGTTCCCCCGGGCAAGAAGAGCTTGAACAAGACTGGTTCTCGAAATATTTTCAGAATTGAGGTCTCTCTCTCTCTCTCTCTCTCACACACACACACATGTACTAGGAATCTTACTAATTAATGATGATTAATATTTACTTTTCCTCGATTCAATGATTATGCATGTGTACAACTTTGTAATTAACATGGAGGATGTTTGGTTGTTGAGCAATTGTATGTATATATGTATGTATATATGTATCTAAGTCTATATATTTATGCATTTCGGACATAAAAATACAATTTTGATGTTGCCATTATTATAATAATTAGAGAGATTTAAATGTACATAATCTTATCTCATATGTTAATACATAAATTGCTTTCACAATTCAAATTCTTGATCTCAATAAAATAATCTTACGAATGCTTGAAAATCCATCATCATATATTATATGAATTTGTTTATTAATATGCAATATGACGTAAACCATACTAACATATCACCTAATATAGTTGGTAAGATCGGTGGATTAGGTAGGGACTCTCTTGCTTTACTATGGGACATGATCATCCCTTACTTCATTCGTTCAGAATGACGGGATGGTTGACGTTTTTTAGTATTCCTTTGCCTTTGTAGGATTATAATGCCACAGTGGAGTTTTACTGGGCCCCATTTTTGGTGGAGTCCAATTCCGACGATCCTAAAATGCACAGCATATTGAACCGTATCATCATGCCCAAATCAATCAAAAAACATGGCATTAACTGGAAGAATGTGGACTACCTCATCTTCAACACATATATATGGTGGATGAACACTTTCACCATGAAAGTTTTGTAAGTATTACATAAATTCTTCCTGTCTTCCTCCCGTCTCCCCCCAACCCACAACCCCTTTGTTTTTACGAGGTCCGTTTGTGGGACAATTAGGTTAATTTTTTTACGTCTTTGGGATAATCGAAACAGACGAGGATCGTTTGATCATGGTGACACAGAGTACGATGAGGTCGATAGGCCGGTTGCATATGGGAGAGTATTGAGGACATGGGCCAAGTGGGTGGACAAAAATGTGGATCCCAATCGTACCACAGTCTTCTTCGTGAGCATGTCTCCTCTTCATATCAAGTAATACACACATCTTTACTTTCAGTTAATTTCCAGAAAATTTTACTTTGGACTCGTGGCTGCAATGCATATATATATTCGACTAAAAACACGTAATCCTAAGTATTAAAGCTCTAATTAGTTCCCTAATGCTCCGGGGTACGGTGGATCAAGTGGAGTAGTTATCCCAGTAGGTAATAGAGGACAGTGGACACTGAACCCTGGGCATCATGATCATTGACTTTAGAGTTCTTTTAATATTAAGTTTGGTAAACCAACATGGCACCATTACTTGTTTAATGACTATCATAGATTTATTTATTTATTTACCTTGTTTAATTATCATATTATTTCCTAATTATAATATGATTAACGTTTTTCGATCGTGCTCAAAAATGTAACAGGAGCTTGGACTGGGAAAACCCTGATGGCATCAAATGTGCAAAAGAGACTACCCCAATTCTTAACATGTCCATGCCATTAAACGTGGGCACAGACCGTCGACTCAATGCAGCCAATTTGATTAAATCAATGAAGGTGCCCGTCCACTTCATCAACATAACCACCCTCTCTGAGTACCGGAAAGATGCACATACCTCGGTCTACACCATCCGACAGGGCAAGCTGCTCACCGATGAGCAGAAGGCTGACCCGGTCAATTTTGCTGATTGTATACATTGGTGTCTTCCAGGCTTACCCGATATGTGGAACGAATTCCTCTACACTCGTATAATTTCTCGCTCTTGACACAAAAACTCCATGGCAGTCCCATCAATTTTTTTTCTTGCCTTTTTTCAATATAAAATTAAAAATTTTATTTTAGTTTGGTATTTTTTTCATATATATATATATTTTTTTTGTTTCCCTTGTAAGGTTCATACCATGTTCCGGTTGTAGAATTTTAGTCATTGCTTCTGGTATTGGACCAGTAGCTTTTTTTTGATCTTTTGTTCAGCCCATTTGACTGAGGGTGGCAGTTGGGTGGGCAGTTCGAGTATCTGCTAATTGGGTTGAAGATGAAGAATGTGATGCAAACATACAACCACCTGAATTGTATAATGACTTAGCTGGAAAATAAATAAAAGTGAATACAAAAGTGTAACTACACTTGAATTTCAAGTTATATATCTATTGTTTGATAATAATAGGTATTATATTTACTTACATGTACGTCTAGGCATATGCACCTCTTGAATCTTATATGCAAATTTGTTTTGTTGTGTACCTATATTCAGTTCGCACTTGTGTAGTCATAATCTTGTGATTAGCATGGTAATCGAATCACTGGGTCATATCATCTCATATCTGAGTTATGTTATTGTGAATTCACAATGAGTATTATTATAATCTAAACCTTATTCCTTTAATTAAGTGATGGTATCCAATGTGCTCGAGTCAATCTGAAGTGTTTATTGATTATATTGTGTTCGAATCGATGCACAAAATATGTGAACTAGAAAGCCTAGATTGAGACCAATCTCTTTCCACTAAACCCAATACTCAAGGCTCCCCACATAAGACAAGGTTGAAGAGGGTAAATCTTTGGTCTATAAACCGATCCTTCAACTCATACACCAATTAAATCTGGACTTGCGCTTCAGTGAGAATTTGAACCCACACTAGAATTTGTCCAACTAATCGAGGTCCGTTCTATCAACCAATCACGTTTTTTGTCGCCTAAGAGACTTAAATCCTTAACCTCGTGAAAGTTGATCCTTCTCATAAAGCAATGGGTATCATTGGATAAAGGATCATTGGTCCGGATTGTCCATGTTATAACAGGTGATGCTTTCCTTCAGTCCACTCGAATTGCATCCCAAATTGTGCGGTTTTATTATTTTCACTGAATAAGTAGTATATAACACCTTATTCAAAGTAATGATATGTAAATGACGAAAATAATAACTCAAACAATTATGAGTAACTGAGAGAATCATGGAATCTATTTTGTGATTGCACATATTAAATATGATCTGAAGAATCAGTTAGCTCCTTAATCATGTGAGATAATTGTGTTAAACACATCAATCATGGGATCTTCAACCCTAATTGTCTGAAAAAGTAAAATTTCTTTTTCTTTGTGGAGGTATGTCTGCTTCTGTGAATAAACCTGGAAGACCAAATACTGATTTTAAATAAAAATGTAATTTTTCCTTAAATGATGTGATATTATCATAATAGGATAAATTTAAATTTCAAATGTGTAAAAGTAAGGAAAATATTTATTGCAACGGTGATACCATGTCAGCATTATCACGTAGTAGCACCAATTAACAATGTATAAACAAATAAGAAAACGAACTTCACACAAATTAATAATTACTTGTCCGTGCATGTATGCGAATAATTACTCACTCTTCTACTATGCAAGTCAATAATTAATCGAGTGAGATTCATTTTATCCATTTATAATTTTATTAATGGTCGATAATATTACCGTTGAGTTGAATATTTCTCGTAAAAATAAAACTAACAAATATTATTGTAATAATATCATATATCGTTTGGTCTTTATTTTTCGCTCCTTTTTTTCGGTTAGTCCATCATTACTCACCATATATTGGCCTTGGAAGTAGGAACCTACTAGCTAAAAAGCAGCCTTACCAATTCTCTTTCATTTTCTTTCATTTTCCTTCATTTTCTCAACCATGTCTTCAACCAGTTACTTCTGTTTTGGTTTTTCTCTTCTGTTATTGCTTCACAGCGCTGTGTCAATGGACTATGGGGCAGCTCTCACCAAGTCTTTGTTGTACTTTGAAGCTCAAAGATCTGGAAAACTACCTCCTAACCAGCGGGTGCAATGGCGAGGTGACTCGGCCCTAAACGATGGTAGAGATGCTGGGGTAATTTTTATCTCACTTCTATTGTTGTTTATATTGCTGTTTTCTAATGAAAAAATAGTTCCGAACACATAATTTTTACCATCACCCGATAATCACATGCATTAGTTAAACCTAAATTTCATCTTACCTGCCAGAGGATTCGAACTTATTATATATCTTTCCATTGTAGTGTTATATTGTTGTTTTCTAATGGCAAATCGTGGCAAACATGTATCTTTTAAACTCACAAATGCAATGTTTTGGAAAAAAGACTCGTGAGTTTATACAATGACCCGATAATCACATGCATAAGTTAAACCCAAATTTCATGTTACAGGATTAGAAATTATTATATGTGGGTTTCTATCTGCCATTGTTCGACCACTAAATCAACCGTTACATGTTTATTTATTTTTTTCTTAATTAGGGTTTTTATGATTATAACAGGTGGATCTGTTGGGAGGATATTATGACGCTGGAGACGATGTGAAATTTGGGTTTCCGATGGCATTCACTGTGACCATGCTGGCATGGGGTGTGGTGGAGTATGGGTCACAACTCCAAGCCAAGGAGGAACTCTCAAATGCTTTGGAATGTATCAAGTGGGGAACAGACTACTTCATAAAAGCTCACCCAGAGCCTAATGTCTTTTATGGTGAAGTTGGTGATGGTGATTCTGATCATAGCTGCTGGCAAAGACCAGAAGACATGACAAACACTAGAAATTCGTATAGGATTGATGAACAACATCCTGGAGCCGACCTCGCCGGGGAAACTGCAGCTGCTTTTGCTGCTGCAGCTATAGCTTTTAATGGGTCAAACCCAAGTTATTCTTCTCAACTTATCACCCATGCAAAACAGGTCTCTCTCTCTCTCTCTCTCTCTCTCTCTCCAATTGAGAGAATATTGAAAAGGTCAAGAATTCTCACTATATCTTCAATTCATGGACTCAATTCAATTACAGTGGAACTTTCATTCACATTTTTTGACAACGAAAACGTTTATTATACTTTATGACTCATGATTTGGACTACCACATGCTTCCCACTCCTAATTTGGACTATCATATACTATCATAAACAATTAAATTTTCGCAATCAAAAGTATAATTTCGTTATACTTTTTGTATTAGAGGTCCTTACATATCATATTAACAATCAAAAAATGGTTGAATCTATTCAAAAGAAGTAAATGTAAAAGTGTTTGCAAATAGTCTCATAGAATATTGATATGTTCTGTGGTCATTCAATTGCAGCTATTTGATTTTGCAAAAAATCACCCTGGACAGTACCAAAACAGCATCTCAGTGGCCGGAAGCTTCTACTTAAGCAGTGGATATGAGGTAAAATCAAAGTAAATTTTTTCAATTCATCATGGTTGCTGACAGAGAGACACTATATAGCAGATATGATATATAATTACTATTTTATTATTATTATTTTTTTCCTCAACAGGACGAATTGTTGTGGGCAGCCGCATGGTTACATCGAGCTACCCAAGATAAAGGATACATGGATTATATCCAACAATCTGTAAATTCAGGTGGCACCCGATCCATGTTCTCTTGGGACGATAAATATGTTGGCACTCAAGTCCTCATTGCAAAGGTAAGGCCGTTTCTTAGCCTCCTATAAGTAGAGCTTGATCAATCAGTAGCTATTCATACAATAGCTTCATGTACGCTTGGACAGAGTAGGTTTCTAAGGTATGAGAAGTTACATTATCTAAAGTTATGAATAAACAGATTGATTTACGTTTAATCCAAAAAACTTGACATTACCCAAGTTTTCCATTACTGATCTCGTGTTTTAGAACCCCATCGATCAATAACTTTGACCTTACTAAGTTGTATCTTGATCTGATTCGGTCATTAACTTTTCAACTTGATACCATAGATTTAACTATGTGCAAATAGTTGAGAAACCCTATATCACATTCATATGTTTATATAAAATTTTTTGTGTTTCGGTGCAATGCACAGAATCTTCTCAAGGGCAAATTTGTAGAAGATGGAAAATTTGGTGAGTATAAAAGCAATGCGGAACAATTCATCTGCAACTGCATCCAGAAAGGAAGCAGCAACGTGCAAAGGACTAGGGCGGGGCTACTATGGTGGCAACCATGGAATAATCTTCAATACCTTACCAGTTCATTGTTTGTCACAACCACTTATGCCGATACTTTGACAGCCACACAAAACACGCTCCAATGCCCTGGTGGTTCAGTCACGCCTGAAGATCTCATCACATTCGTTCGATCACAGGTATATATGATATCATATTCTATTTCACTCACATACATTGACATAATTATTTTTATTCTTCTCTCAATACTACATCGCTATTAAACATTTAGATTATTTAGTCTTGCAAAGTGGTCCGTACTTACTCATTCCAAATTCCACGTGCATTGTATGCATCTGTATATATATTTTAAACACATATGACAAGTGCATTAACTAGAAATGTACATATACCATGCATGGTTTGGTGACACTTGACTAGCTTCAACTTGAATTTGTTTTGTTAGGTGGATTACATACTTGGCTCAAACCCTAAGGGAATGAGTTACATGGTTGGGTTTGGACCTAAGTATCCCCAGCATGTTCATCACAGAGGGGCATCGATTGTGTCGATAAAGACCGACAGTTCACCGGTGACTTGCAAGGGAGGGTTCGACTGGTTCGGTAGGAATGAACCAAACCCTAATGTTCTGGAGGGAGCAATAGTTGGTGGACCAGATCAGGGAGATGACTATACAGACTCAAGAAGCAACTACCAGCAAGCTGAAGCAGCCACAGCAAATACTGCACCACTCGTCGGAGTCTTGGCACGGCTTGCCTGAAATATTGTTATGTGGCCTTTTTTTTTACCAACTATTCTCATAGTTCAAGGGATTAGTTCGTAAAAACCGGGATATCCAGCAAAAAAAAAAATAGATGAACAAATGGAACATAGGTATATGAAACTATCAGTCAATAATTTAAACACAAAAATAAGTATTGGTTCAATTATAACAATAAATTAGACAAACAAAATATGATTAAGTAACATTATTTTACTTTAATGCAACTAATTTATACATTTGTGCGAAAGTTTCAGCCCACAATCTTAGACTTCTCCCCAACTCAAATTCAGGCATAGCAAGATGTAATGAATGGTTTCAAATTGATACCTATATTAAACAATCATCTACACTATACACTAAAATTTAAAGGTAGCACATGAAAATCTTTTTAATAATTAGAATGGTGGCGAGATTCGAACACAAATTTTCAACTCTTATAATCATGTATGTGCACAAAAAGAAAAAAATATGAGTGTAACCGTTACACCACGTTAGCAATGTCACATAATGTAACTTTCCACAAAAATAAACAATTTTGCAAGTGAGTTTCATAAATATTCATAAACACCCAACCATAATGCATATAATTACCTCCATGATAAGAAATGGGTTTCATTTTATAGTTTTTTTATTAGATAGTTATACCACTTCAACAATGTTGACATAGTGTAATCGCTACACCCGATATTTACTCAACAAAAAGACCCTTTGATATTGTTATTTGGCTAATTATGGGCAATTGCATCATGACATCTATAACAATATGAAATCGTCCACCAATAAGAAGGGGCCGCTCAAAGAACATCAGTGTGGAATGTACTTTGGGTGAATTTATTAGAATATTCCATGTTTTCTTTACTTTATATTCCTATATCACTGCAGATATATATATATATATATATATAGATATAGATATAGATATAGATGATGAATCCACCCTCTTTTTCCTAATGACTACACTCCCTTACTGTGTTCGCATATATATATATATATATATAGAAAAAGGGTCTACCAAGAACACCATGTAAATGTGAAGAAAATATTGGGCAAGTGGATCCCACATGGGATAGTTGCTTCATGATATGAATGAGTAGTTATTTAATTATATTAGATTCACTTGTCCACATGTTGTTTTATTATTGGACAGTTATACTATATCAGCATAATGATGTAGTGTAACCTTTCCACCTAATATTTTACTCATAAATATGGATGTAAATTCTTTAATAAAAGAAAAGTTGGTGTAAATATTAGCATATGTACAATTAGAAGAAGCAAAATTAATTTGCTAAACAAAGAAGACTGGAAAATCATATCAATTACTGCATTAAAACATCTCTACATAAATAGAGATACCAATCTCCAGACCTTGGAGCCATAGTCATTGAGGTTCTCAAATATCCTTTTTATTGTATATATTTTCTCTAACAAAATGTCTTCAAAAAGCCTATTTGCTTTCATCTTTCTTTTTTTAGTACTGTCTCAGGGCGTTGTTTCAATAAACTACGGAGCTGCCCTGACCAAATCGTTGCTGTACTTCGAAGCTCAAAGATCAGGAAAGTTGCCGCCTAACCAGCGTGTGAAATGGCGAGGCGACTCGGGCCTAAATGATGGCCAAGATAAAGGGGTAATATAGTTGTCATCGCCTTTGTTGTTGTTGTTGTTTTTTTGTGCTGAATTGAAATGTGCACTAAACTGTTCAGGACTCGGCCAGTGAATATTGTTCATACTCAATTTGAGCTTCAAATATTTTATTCAAGCTTCTCTCGTCAATATTTTGCTCAAACCCGAATTAGGCGCCAATTGGTTAGTTTGATTAACAAAACCAAACAATTACATTTGTACAACTTTAACTCGAATTTACAATTGTCTTCACAATTAATTTTGGCTCATGTATACATGCATACCATAGTATGGATTGATCGATAAATCTGGTTATATAAATTAAGAGCCAAAACAGGCCATTACTTAGTAACGGCTCATTTCTTAAATTGGATTTTTTATTTTAACGGTTAAGGGTGTTTGAATCAATTTACGCATAGCTCAATTAATCTTCTTCCTGATCTAGTCAAAGGTAAACCATCAATCCGGACGCTAGAGTATTCATGAGAGATAAATTCATTATAACCTAACTTCAAAGAGTTGCCAAAATTTAAATTCACGTTGTCTAAATTTACAACTCATCTTTGTTATCACTTTAACAATCCGTTGAAGTTAAAATTAAGTTAAAAAGCTCACTTCATTTCACAAATGAACAAACTTCTGTTGTGCAACTTAGTCGTCATTGATTCTGTTTACCATTGGGTTTCATGTTCAACAGGTAAATCTGGTGGGAGGATACTATGACGCCGGCGACAACGTGAAATTCGGATTGCCAATGGCATTCACAGTGACGATGCTTGCATGGAGTGTGGTGGAGTTTGGGTCACAACTCCATGCCAATAACGAGCTCTCAAATGCATTGGCTGCCATTAAATGGGGAACAGACTACTTCATCAAAGCTCACCCAAGCCCTAATGTCCTTTACGGTGAAGTTGGCGATGGTGATTCCGACCATGATTGCTGGCAAAGGCCGGAAGATATGACGACGCCGAGGACATCTTATTTCATTGATGAACAGCATCCTGGATCGGACCTTGCCGGAGAAACTGCGGCTGCTTTAGCTGCTGCAGCCCTAGCTTTTAATAGAACAAACCCACGATATTCTTTTGAACTTATCACCCATGCAAAACAGGTGAACTTTTTTTCTCTCAAGTGAACAATATGAAGAAGCTCACACTTAAATCGGCTAGTAAGTATAGAGCGTTCAAGAGTTCATATTTATATAATGCTGAACGCATTTAGGCACTTAGATCATAAAACACCACAAACTTCTAAAACCAACCTCCATAACCGCCCACGGCATTACACTAATAACATGATCCTTCTCACAAAATCTGTTACGATGATTGCAAAACTATAGTTCATATTGCATTCAATCTCTTGCAGATTAGTATTTTTTTAGAGTTTGACTTACCACTACCTTACACACACATTTACAATTTCACAAGTTTTCACGAAGGATTTTGTTACGTCCGAATTGTCAACTTGTCGTAATTGGTTTTCAAGATCAATGCTGCTACTGACTGATTGATGATCTGTTATGTTCCAATGGCAGCTATTTGACTTTGCCATAAACCACCGTGGCCAGTACCAAAACAGCATTCCTGTCGCCGGAAAATTTTACTCAAGCAGTGGCTACGAGGTAAATGAAACGTCCTTTTTAATTTTCACGTCCTAAATTCGATACCAAAGAAAAAAATAGATAATGATTTAATTCTAATTTTCCGATGTAATCACTCTTTCCTCTGCATTAGAAGTAGACGTTTTATTATATTGAGACTCGTTGTTAATCCAACATGGTCGTAGATTATATCAAAAAATTATTTCTAGATACTCGAAAGAACATTGATGCGGATATATAAACTAATAATTTTGTTGTGTAAACACAGGACGAACTGTTGTGGGCAGCCTCATGGTTACACAGAGCTACTAGGGAGAATACATACGCTGATTATGTCTATCAAAATGGAAATTCAGGAGGCACCAGAACCATGTTCTCTTGGGACGACAAGTATGTTGGGGCCCAAATACTTATGGCAAAGGTATGATTTTTAGGGATTGTAATCTTGACACTGATGTGTTAATATGATGTAAACATGGCATGAAAGTTCGCTATCGCAAATAATAAATAAATCAAATTACTGTCAAGTACAAATAACTTGATTTTGCTAAGATAAATCCGGTAAACTAGTCATGTAAACAGAAAATATAATTTTGTGCTATTCCTTGATATGTTATTTTAAGATTCTTGGTCAATTTAAAGAAATTTTAATATACTTGTGCTAACATCTAAATCGAGTAGATTCTTATTTATACTTGGTCAATGAGTAGTGGGTTTAATTAAGGGAAATGGGATTTTAGTAAGTTTTTGATTATTGATTATGCGTACGAATTTAAATACAGTGTATTACGGGACAAATTAAATTTATTTTATTATATTTGATTAGTACTCACTATAACACTTAAAATAATACAATCCGAACATATCATATCATGACACCGTGATTGACTTGATATCATATGTATGCACTTATGTACCTATGTTCATCCATGTGACATGGTCTGAATATATATATGCTTCCAAGTTAAGACGCTTAAAATTGGTGTTTGGGTACGATCCACAGAACTCTCTCAATGGAAAATATGACGAATATGGGAATTTCGCAGAGTATAAAAACCAAGCCGAGCAATACATCTGCAACTGCATCGGAAAAGGAAGTAACAATGTGCAAAGGACCCCATCTGGGCTACTGTGGTGGCAGCCATGGAATAACCTTCAGTATGTCTCCACCGCAGTGTTCGTGACAGCCACTTATGCCGATTACCTCGGTGCCTCAAGTTCTACTCTCCATTGCCAAGTTGGTGAAGTTTCACCCCACAATCTGATTAACTTTGTCCGATCACAGGTATTTAACATGAAAAACCAATGTCACTGTACTAAAAACTAACAGCCTAATCAGCTGAAATTACAACTCCAACCAATCAAGTTATGACTTTATGATCCCGAGTTAGGATCAATCTAAAATATTTGAGGCCAATCCTAATTTTTAAAACCCGATTCCAGAATCTTGACCCTTTTTTGAATAAAACTTAATCTCGTCTGATTGTAATATGTCCCAAATCTTTTCAGTATCCTAAATTTAACTCAACTTATATAGATACAAGATACTGAAATCTTGTTATATGTGCCACCCACATTTGGATTGTCTTGGATTTAGGCATCTTGACTAAACTTGATCAAAATTGACAACATCTCATATTGAGATAACCTGAATCCAAAACATTACCAGATCAGTGGTTCCGCCGTTAATCCAACAACTGCAGATGATTTAGTGCATATTTTGGTGAACATAGTTTTATCCAAACAGTAATTACCCACTTATATAGCAACTTGGCAATTTGTTTGGTTAGGTGGATCACATACTGGGCTCAAACCCAAAGGGCATGAGCTACATGGTAGGGTTCGGACAAAACTATCCAAGGAAGGTTCATCACAGAGGGGCATCAATCGTGTCCATCAATCAAGACAGCAGCCCAGTGAGTTGCAAAGGAGGTTATGAAGTTTGGTTCAACAAGGAGGCACCAAACCCCAATGTCTTGGAGGGAGCAATTGTTGGAGGACCTGATCAAGGTGACAACTTCTCCGATTCCAGGAGTAACTACCAGCAAGCCGAGCCCGCGACGGCAAATTCTGCACCGCTGGTTGGAGTATTGGCCCGGCTTGCCTGAAAGTTTGGTTTTGGTTCTTGGTTTTTTAGGTTTAGCTCGACTTTTACTTTGAACAAGTTATGTCAAACTCAACCATAATGTATGAGAATATATAGTTAGAAGTGGTCATAGCTAATTTAAGGGACATTGGTGTCTCATATTGATTAAAACAGTGAAGTATAAAGTTTATTAATTTGGTTGTTGGGGACTCTTGATGCTTAACTTTGGTTTTGCTTTACTGTAAATGACATGGTTAATAATCGGTAGAACATATATAGGACCTAATAATCTAACTTAATAGCTTGGTACAATAATGTGTCACGTAATATGGTGTTAATAAAAAAAAACTCGTTACAATAAGATCATTAAATTCTGTCAACTAACATATCCTTAGTATTGGGTCATTACATTAATCAAAAATTATAAAAAAAAAAAACTACTTGGGACCAAACTTGAAGCTTTAAATCAGAGCTTATGTAAAGTAAAAGAATAGCTCAAGCTTAGGTACTCCATTGCCTTGCTTGTTTACATAACAACGCTAATTAGTACACTTTAACGTGGCAAGTTTATGTGGAAAAGGTGTGAAATTCTAGGATGAAGAAGGTTCCTTGATTTTTCCAAATGGTCCAATAGGATGATCACACCACGGCCACATGGTGTCCTAAATATCCCAAGTGAAAATATCTTTTAGAAATTGATTCGTTGTTATCTGCGGATTGGTGGGTCAAAAAGTTAGCAAAAACTAACGTAGTTTTCGGAGGTTTGTTGTCATATGAATCCCACAAACCTCGAAAGAGTGGTTCTTGACGTTTCTAAATAATTCTTATAGACCACAAAAGAAAACAGAAAGAAAAAAAAAGTGGTAGTGTTTCTGGATATTAGGGCTTTCTGGATCGCTCTTGTACTTCATTTCTTCAATCAGTAGCTGAAGTCAGGGTTTTTCTCCGGCATTCTATAATCGTTTTGTCCTGTGTGGTTGCTAACAAAATATTTTTCGTTTGGCATCTATACCCTGAAACTTCAAGCTTGATACAACTATATGTGGCGTGGTGTTTTACACTCTCTCTCTCTCCCTCTCTCTCTCTGTGTTTTGCATGCCCCTGAACAATGTGGGATTTGTTCAGTTCCTTGAGATTTGCAGGTGAGGAATCTCTGCTGTTAAAAAATAAGTAGTGTAGATTAAAACAGCACAGTTTTGATACAAAACGATGTCATTTTGTTAAACAGACATTTCAAAACGATGCTGCTTTCATCAACAACACCTCTACAGCCGGATCTGATATTTGCTTGCTTTTTTTTTTTCTGCCAAAAACTTAAAAGATACAAGAACATGGCTGGAGCGAATTTCTTTTATTTTTCATCTCTTTGATGAGCTAATAGAGGTGTAGTATATCATCTTCATTCAATTTGATTTTTTCCATAATTTTTATTGTTGAGTTGAGTTGAGGATTCATCTGAAAAAAGTATTTAAAGCTTCACTGTCTTGTTGACGGGATTGACTTGTTCCCGATCAATTCGTTACCATGAAGCGAAAGAAGCCATCTAGTCTCAACTGTCCTGTTCTAAAATTTCTGCATTGCAGTCATCTCTGCCATTGCAGTGTTGGATGGTTGAGGACATTGTTCATTCTGATTCCAATTCTCACATATCATTATCATAATGACTATCCTTAGTGAGGAAATTGAGTGAAAGGAAAGAGAACTAATTTTGAGTTACAATTTTTAATGTTTCAGTTACAACTTTTGTGGTAGTTTTTCAGCTCGATCCACTCCCTCCATCATCATCCTTCAATGAAAAGCGGGAAGGAGACGAGATATATCCGACCTAATCAAGAAAAGCCACACCTTCTAAGATCCGATGCTTCCCCTAAAGACCATTAGATAATTAAAATTACCACAAAAGTTAAATGACTTCGGCTTGACCTGGGTTAAGTCACGTGGGCGACCCCCCAATAGCCTTTACCTGGATCGGAAGAGAGTCGTCTTCCCCCCTGCCATATAAGTGAACACTTCCTATGGAGGAGGTACCCACTAGCGACCTGATCAAGTGCTACTAGTGGGTACCTCCTCCATAGGAAGTGTTCACTTATATGGCAGGGGGGAAGACGACTCTTTTTCGATGTGGGATTGCCTTAGGAAAGGGTCCTATTGGCGAAGAGAGGTAAAAGCTACTGGGGGATCGCCCGCCTGAGTTAAACCAGGTCAAGCCAAAATCCTTAATAGAGGGTTCTACCCCTTACAACTCCTAAATATTATAAAAAAAATCACAAATTGGTAATGATGATACCCAAAAAAATAAATTATCGTAGTTTTGAATCTTTGTTAGTCTTCTCTTTGATCTCCTTTATTTTCAGAGTTTTGAACCTTTGTAACTTACTAACTATTGAGTGCTGGCATCTTTCTGCAACCACAGAGAAAAGGCAAGATTTGCTGAAAAAGCTGTTCAGTTGCACAGTTTCTTTTCTATTTTGCATAATTAATTACATGTAATGCAGTCAAAGAAGAAACTGTCGAGCTTGCCGGTTAGGTCACCATGTTATTTAGAAATCACATACCCTATTACATATATTTTGCGAATTTCTCACAATCATTCACCAACTATTGTGTATTAGTAGGAGACTCGCTTATACAAAAAATAATTATTCATCAACTAAGATATTGGTAAGAGAGTTGCTTATACAAAAAATAATCATTCATCAACTAGGGTATCGGTAAGAGACACTAACACAAAAAAAATCAAATAATTCACATAATCTACCCTTTCGATTGGAAAATCTAACACTAATTCCCAATCTACCCATTTTGATACAATACTAGCACTTTACCTTCTTTTTTTTTTTGTTCAACGGTTAAAAATGTCCAAATTAGCTCACATGTATCTCGAGTAACCCCCTCCCTTATCCAATCAAAGACAAACCATCTACGCCAGAATTAAAGTATTTATAAATAATAAATTTCTCATACTCTGATACTAAAAATTACCAAAATTTAAACTCAAAATATCTAACTTTACAACTCATTCTTATTACTATTTGAACCATCCTTAGAGTTCTAGCACTTTACCATGTAAACATCAACTTGGTAACATTGAAGATTCAACCAGAGTGTATGAGACTAGACAGCTGAAATTATATGAGCTGCTCGACTATGTACCGGCCATGCTTATGGCTTCTAACTGCTGCCATATTCCAGTTCCTATGTTACTGGATGCACCCAGCAACAGGCACGGCCAATGCAATCACAAATAGTATCAGCACTACATGATTGGCAGATATGCAACGAAATCAACAGTAAGTTACCGAGGCCAGATTCAGCCTCGATAATTGAAGTCATAATCGAGTTGACCTCCTAGACTTGCTTGATACGAGCCTGACACAAACCCAGCTACATAAAACGCAAATACGACTTGTAAACATCACCTACACACATGTAGGAATTGAAACAATTTTTACACGACATCACTTGTATACCCAACAAGAAGCTACCCATTGCAATCCATATTGCATATCAATCATCTCACTGCTGTTTCGATAAAAATGTTTCATTTATCTATGTAGACATTAATTGTCACAAGTTCTTTCTACCATAAAACAGTTCATTATGACCACAAGCTGATGCATATCAAAGCCAAGAGGGAACTAAAGGAATTCAAAGGTTTCAGAGGTCGGTATAACCATACAACATGTGAGTACGTACACGAGCCATGGGCCTTTCATGTTGAATGACAGGAATGAAGTAATATTTACATGTACAGCTGTTTGCCTCGTACAAATTTACAAGTGTCAAGCAAAAAGAAAAAAATGCACAAGAGTGAAGAAATGACATGAGACAACATTCCAACCTCTGGTTCGCTCTCCTTTATTCATCCCAGGGCTGCAATGTCTTCAGCTATAGGGTAGCCGCTGCTGACAGATCAGGCTCACCAAAGTTTACACCTGCAGCGCCACCCACATTCAGACTTAAAAACTGCAGGTAACATCTTTCTGTTCTGACATTCTCATCTTTGTAAAGCTGAGGCCATGGGAAAAACAAGTTTGTTCTTTCTGAGATCAGTTATTGCACAACACTAGGATACAGTAAGAAAACTATACCTATCAATGCTCCTTTTTTTCAAAGGCCCCTTGAGTCTCAACCATTGACCTCGGAAGACAAGAAGAGTTTATTGATCTCATCAATTGCACTGATGTGAGTTCCAGGGAGTAACAGACGCAACAAAGGAACCGATGTGGTTGTGCGTATAGGCTTGATTTTTTCCAGTGCTGTCTTGATAACAGTTGGTGTAGGTATGCTGTACCACTGGAGATACCAAGAAAGAAGTGTTGACGGCTTCCCCTCGTCCGATATTTCACTTGGCCATCTCCCTGACTTCAAATAATTGGAGAAATGATTTTCCAATCCTGCAAAGCAATTCAGAATCTCTTCCACCCGCTTTCTGAGTGAACCTAGGAAAATAGCTAGAACAATGCTCCCTCTTGAAGTTAAAATCCTTCCATTTAGCAAAGCTTCATTGTAGGCCAGTGCAAGCTGGAGGCAAAACAGGTATAACAAAAACAAAATTTAGTGAAGGTTAGTTCATAATAGAGAGTAATAAAAACATGAAGTAAGTCAAAAGAGTCAAGAAACTAGATGCCAACCCAACCATTAGTCATGTTTAAGAAACCTGCCTTGCAGAATTATTGAAATCTCTCCTTTTCTTTTCTTTTCTTACCTATCCTTTCCTCATTGAGAGTGTGTGTTTGAAACAAATCTAACAATAAAGGATTTTCTTCAACTAATCAAATGCTGTAAGAGTAATCCTTGGGTATGGTGTCACCGGCCCCTAAATTTGAATAACAAGATAAACAAACAAGTGACAAGAAACAAATAAGGCACACACAAAGAAGCACAAGATGTAGGTGGTTTAATCGGAAAAGCTTACGTCCACGGCGACAACAATCGGAACAAGGGAAAATTTACGCTTATATCACTCAACTCTCAAGGCACTGTTTTTTCGATGTCTGCAACCGATACCTAACCATCCCC